CGGCGGTGGGCGAGAGTGAGAGGAGAGAGAGAGAGATGTGAGTGGGCGATCAGCAAGAGCATTCCCTTGGTTTCCGTGAGCCAGTGGAAGCTGCATCCTCACCAACCCATGATCCCTGCCACCCTCTTTCTCTCCGGTCGCCAACACCCGCTCCCCCCTCTTGAGCACACACAGTGTGCCCTCAAACATTACTGTAACTCTGCGAGAGGTGAGGTGTGGGACAGACAGGAGGCGGGTGTGCGTCTCAGGCACATAATGCACCTTTTGCAGCCTTAATAATTGACCCCCTGCAACAAGCAGTAGTACCTCACCCGTACCCTTAGCACTGACCACCCGTCCATCCCCCAATCGCACTCCTCTAATTTCAGGTGGGCCGAGCTTACTTTGGAAGTCGGCCACATAAGGGGTGAATTTGTGGCTGGCTCCACTGTCAATCCACCACCCATCTCGCGGCTGCCTTTCTGCTGCTGCCTGCTGCCCGACCACTGCCGCTGCTTCACCAACACCTACCTTTCCCTGGACCTCCTGCTCCTCATCATCCGCTACTGGTGCTTTGCCTTTGAACCCACCAGGTCGTTTTAGGAAGGTCGGTATCGCATTCTTGGGCCTATGAGGGCAACGCTGCCATGCAGGTCCCTCATTCCAACACCTGTGACACAAATCCATGGCGCCATACCCTTCGATCCCAAAGAAAATGTGGATGCTATCGACTTGCTCGTCGGCGACGCTATTTCCAATTATATGCTGATCGTCTCCAATGCTTGTCGTCGACCGAACACCATTGAGAGAAGATGTCTTCTCGTCCTCCCAAGCGGATGAACACGTCGTCCAGCGTGTTTCTCCTTCCCTTCACCGGTGCCACGCCCAAAGTCCGCCACGACCTTCTACGGTGCGATTTCGGCAGCCCTTCGGGATCGGTGGAAGCCCTTTTGCTTCCACCAAGGATTCAAATCATGTTTTGCACTAGTTTGCTCTTCCAATGGATCGCTAGACTCCCCTCAGCTCTGATACCATGTGAAAGTTTTCTAAGAGACTAATGCATCCTTAGAACCTCCTCTTAGAGTCTAGGATGCTTAGGAACCAAGTTGGACATGACCTATGCTTAAGAGGCACCATCAAATTCAAGAAGTGAGTTTCAGCCAAGTCACAACCAACCCTGAAGGATCTAGGAGTTTACCCTCTAGAAGCATTCCCAACCCATCCAAGCAAAGTACGCTACACTACCAAACTTATAGTCAATCAGCTATATGTATGTTATTGGAGCAACCTAGATATTCCCATAATTCCGACAGGGTTGTCACCCACACGTCCTTGTCAGAATTGACGCTGGTATTGCGGAGCGCTGCGGGTAAAGCGGGGTCACAATCTGCCACTTAACTCTAGTCGTGGGTAGAGCACGCCATCGCCTAAAGCGTAGGAAACATACACTGTGTAACATTGATGTTAGCGACAATGACATCACCATTGGCTCAGCACGCCTCAACAACGTTTGCCTCAATCGGAACGGCACTGTCCTCTACCACATCTGGTTCGCGCTTGTCATACAGCGCCCTCAAGTCGGTTGCATCCCCATCCCCTTATTATCCACCCTCCCTGCCTCTTCCACGTCGCAATCATCATCGCCTCACACCGACGTAGAAGTAGAGAACATGCTTACGATGTCATGTTAGTCCTCCAACACGTTTGACTCAGTGACAGGGATGTCCCTTTTCGCAGGCCATCTAGGGCAATCTTCTAGTGGCGGTTGGGGCACAAATGACGTGCATGGTAGTTGGGGCAAACCAACCGTAGAAGAGGAACCTGAGGACACATCTATACGAAGATTCGGGCCCTCACAAAAACAAAAGCTAATCGCCCTCTTTAACTAAAGCCGAATTCATCGCAACAACCCCTGTTGTCTGTGAAGGAGTTGTTCGAATACTAGAATGACTAGAAACAAGAGAGAACAAGCAAGATACAGGGTTGGTTGTACTCTCTAAGAACATAAACCTATTTCCGCATTCCGCATACCGGGGCAGAGCTAGGCCGCTCACCTAAGTCAGTGAGCAAGAGCGTTAGCCAGCAGAGCTCCTGTGCCGACATGGCACCGGTGTAGATCTCAGCCTCACATCTAGACTGTGCAACAGATGAGGAGCGAGTAGACCTCCACGAGATGGCACCCAAACCAAGGCTAAAGCAGTAGCCCTGGGAGGACCTGAGGGTTTCAGCGTCGTCTGCCGAAGAAGCGTCTGTGTGTCCAGTAAGGACCACCGGCCTGCGTCCTCCTAGCACTAGCCCCATGCTTGATGTACTCGCTAGATAACGCAAAACCCTCTTAGCACCCAACCAGTGATGTGGTCGGTGTCTGCCCGTGGCCACAAAGCGAGCCAGGATGCTGAGAGGGTATGTGAGATCGGGACGAGTGCAAGTCATCAGGTACATGAGGCAACCCATGAGCTTTGCGTAAGGACCACTGGGCTCTACTAACTCCTCAGGAACTGGAGCTGAGAGCATGTCATCTACTGGCGGAGGTGTGGGCTGTGCGGAGGAGAATTGAAGACCGAACCTCTGAAGGACCTGGCACACCAAGTGTGACTGTGTGAGAGTAATGGTGCGTGCTGCTCTGTTCCTGGAGATTTGCACGCCAAGGTAGCGGTGCAACTCTCCTAGGTCAGTGCAAGTGTGTCTCCTCAACAGCTCAGACTTCACGGAGGCCAGCGCGTTGCTGTCTGCAGTAGCGAAGACCACGTCGTCTGCGTAGACAAGGATGTTGAACGGAGTCTGGCCAGCACGAACGAAGAGCGTGGGGTCTGCACAGGACGGAAAGAACTGCAGGTCAGCTAGCGTAGCACGCAGTGTGTCGTGCCACTCACGGGGCACCTGTCGAAGGCCGTAGACAGGGCGTCGGAGGAGCCACTGGGTCCCAGGAGGGAAGGTACTGGTGAAGCCCTGCGGTCGGCGCAGATGGACGTGCTCGTGTAGACTGCCCTGAAGAAAAGCAGTGGAGAAGTCTAGGGAGTGGAGCTCGTAGTCACGCTGTGCTGCTACGTGTAGCACCGCCCGAAGAGTAGTCATCTTTGGGGTCGGATCGAAGGTCTGAAAGAAGTCCAACCCCTCTCGTTGATTGAAGCATCTAGCCATGTAGGACACCTTGAACACAGGCGGCTCTCCATGGGGGGGCTTGACCTTGAAGAGCCATCGGCCGTCGACTACGTTCACCCCAGGTGGGGGAACTGCGTCGACATAGGCGCCGGTGGATCTCCAAGATGCCATCTCCTGCTCCATGGCAGCTATCCAATGAGAGGCTCAGGGTCCCGAGGTCGCCTCAGCATAAGTGCGAGGGGTCAGGATGTCAAAGGCGTCTGGATCACCCTCAGGGGCTAGCAGCATGGAACAGAGATGGGGAGCAGCCTCGGACAAGAAAGCAAGCTCGTACTGCTTGTCCTCTAGGACGTCATTGTCAAGGGCAGGAGCACCCCCGACGGACGGAGGACGGACAGGGTCAGAGATCAGAGCGGTGGCGTAGTTGAGGCGGCAAGTAGAGGCGAAGTCAACGACAGCAGCGACAAGAGTGTCAAGACTCGAGACAGGAACGGACGGGTCTGTAACGAGGGAGGCAAGGATCCGAGGAACAGGAGGACGAGTAGCGCGAAGGTAGTCAGACAGAGGGGGAGGCGTGACAGCGAGCGACGACGGAGGATGCGAAGGCAGGAGGGGAGGACGAGACGCGTGGGAACGAAGCAACATAGGGTGAGAACGCTGAGCAGAGGAGACAGGACGAGCACGAGAGGGAAGGCAAGACCAGACGTGAGACGGGGGCGCGTGGGCGCGAGGGGCCGGCGGGACGCTAAGGGGCCGGCACGACGCGTAAGGGATGCTGGGCACGCTAGGGGCTGGCGAGGTGCGCTAGGGGCCGGCAAGCGCGCTAGGGCCGGCAGGCGTGCTAGGGGCCGGCGAGGCGCAGTAGGCTAGGGCGCGGGGCGGGGAAGCGGGTGGGTTGTCCTAACCTACTCATGATACCATGTTAGAATGCTAGAATGACTAGAAACAAGAGAGAGCAAGCAAGATATAGAGTTGGTTGTCCTCTCTAAGAACCTACACATTTTCTAGCCTGTAACTTCTACATGCTGAATATAGGTATAAGTTGACAGGAATCTGAGTGCAAGAGCTTCTCCAAGAGGCGAACCCTGATATCTGAGGGCTTCAGGGCGTTTTATTCTTATATATGAGGGCCTGGTAGGTGGCCTGTTTTTATTTTTGCCATGCTAGCATGCTGAGTGTTTTGTTTCCTCTTGCTTTGGTTTTGATTACGCATTCATGTACAAATGACATGACACTGTAAACGCCATGAAAGGGTATCGGTGTGTGAGTTTGAAGTCAATATGATTTCGCTTCCACTGGTTTCTGTAAGCACAGGCTGCTTCGCACTAGAAACCGGTTCCCATCAATTTCACTAGTTGGAGTGTTGGATCCTTAGCTTCTTCGCATAAGCCACCATACAAGTGTTGTAAGCAGTATCTGTTCTTTCAATACAAGGCTGCTCGAATAAGAACTTGCTACTCGAAACAGTACCGAACCGCGCAACTGTGGCCGAGCCAAGTCGGCACCCTTGTATTGATGGACCAATGAGTGGTTGTGTTTTTCAGAGCTTCGTGTTTCGTCACATCGCGGTTTGACCATCCAATCTTATCAAGCCGAACCTTTCCACCATGGCAAACTTCAGCTAATGTACGAAGAATCGTTTACGCCTGTAACGACGAGGGTGCGACGTTACCAGACACTGGCGAACTTTTATGGGTTTGGTCGAGATTGCGCGAACAGTTGGGGACTTGAGTTTGGGTGGTTTGGTTTGCGCCATCGCTGCTGCAACAAATTGTGGTGCTGTGATTCGCGACGCGGCGTCGCTTCGTGGCGCAAGGGCGCAATTCTTCTCGTCCCGCCCTCCCCCAACAACTCGCACATTGTTTTCCTCGTGCTCTTATATAAATACTGATTCAGGCAGGCTCTTACTTCATTCACAATCAGACCGATCCCAGATATCGACCGATAACCGCGCTCACGCCGACCAGCTTTACCTATATAGCTGCCATGATGGAGGGGAGAAGGATACTAGCGCTCTTGTGTGTGGTTTCGGTGGCTCTCCTGTTCCTCCTTCCCCCCTCAGCTCTCGCAGAATCGGCGACAGCGGTTACAAGCGCTGCTACGACATTGGAGATCAACCACCAGCCAAATGGCATCGCTGAAGGTTCGCAAACGCTCCACGTGGTCGCTAGCTTTCGCCAGCTCTCGCCCAGTGTTTCCAGCTCAGCTTCGGCACATACCTCTCATGTTGTCGATCCTTACAAGCTGTTATATTCCTTGGTTCAACACGGTCAAGCCCTTGAGCCACCGACCGTATAGCTGTTCCCCTCTGCTCATCCCCTTCACCGTCCCCAATTCTCTACTCCTCCCGTTCGCAGCGTCCAAGATGATCTTCCGCGGGCGACGACTGAGCGACGACGACGACGACGATTGCGAAGAACACGACGACGACGACGACGATCACCACCATCGCAAGCACCACAAGCCCTGCAAGTCGCCGTCGCCGCCGCCGCCGCCTCCCTCCCCTCCCCCGCCCTCCCCTCGCCCCCCCTCGCGCCCGAAGAAGAAGCTGACGTGTCTCGAAAAGTTGAAGCTCCGCACGGACAAGTGTGACTATAGGGAGGCGTGCTGCAAGCGAGAGGCGGAGGACGAGGACGAGAAGGCGATCTGCGAAGTCGCGGACGAGTCGTGCGAGAGGAAGGCGTACATGCTGTACAAGAAGTGCAAGTACGGCAAGTGGACGTGCAAGAACTGGTGTGACTATAACAAGATGAAGTGCGTGGAGGATGAACACCAGGACAACTACACGTGCCACGAGCGCGCCGGGTATTGCTGCGAAAAGTGTAACCCGAAGCCGAAACCGAAGCTGGAGCCCAAGCCTGAGCCCGAGCCGGTGAAGGACGACAATGATGACGATCACCACCATGACGACGACGACGACGAAGATAACTAATTTCGCCATGCTTATTTCGCCTAGGGAGTGTAACTGCTTGGCTGACTGTTCGCGAATGACTCTCGCGAAGGCTAACTGATTGCTGCTGAAGCCAGGAAAAGCGTCCCGTGCGCCTGACGGTGTGTACAGCTTCGTTGCTTCGTTCCGGTAGATAAACCAGCAGAGAATCAATGGGGAACTGTTTGTGTCTTGCGTTGCTTCATGAAAGCCTTTTATGGTGGCAGGAAAAGCTTTTTATGGCAGAAACTTGCAATGAACCAGTTCCATGAATGAGCCCCTCAAACGCTTGCACAGCACCTCTCGAGCTGGGGTACATTTCATCATGAAACCAAGTCCATGAATGAGCCCATCCTAAGCTTCCTTGTCATGGGATAGTGGTGGGGTGGCAATGGTCCAAGGTTGAATCTTGTGGGATGTAGGACAGGATATTACCAAGGCCGGCTGGTTAGGAAGCTACAGGTGGAAGGCATGTCCTGCTGAACAATAATCCAAACCAAACCATACGAAACCATGAGATGCCACAACACACGAAGGGACAGTTGGTTGCGGGTCAAAAGAAGAGTCTTCTGAACCTACTGCATAACATGCAAACCAACACCTACTACAGCCTTCCAAACCTTTCCAAAGCCCTTCAGCACCAAAAACCTTTCTCACGGGTCAAAACCTTTCTTAGGGGTAGAAGATCTTCACGGGCCAATCAATCAATCACGGGTCGAAGATCTTGATGGACCAATCAGAGGCGATGGGCACACGTGGCGCCCGCACCACTAGGACTGATGAGGGCACTCCCGGGCGCAGCCATGCGGGGCCCACCTCCTCCTGCAGCATGACGGGAAGGGGATGGGAGATGGGAAACGGGGATGAGAGATCATTATTGAGTTGCAACGAAAATCAGCAGCACGCACTCCTGGGCGCAGCCATGCAGGGCCCACCTCCTCCTGCAGCGAGACGGGCTAAGGGGATGGGGAACGGAGGGAGAGAGGGGGGGGGGGGTGGTGGGTTACGTGATTATCAAACCCAAGCCATGGGAAACAGAGACCTTCATACTCACCTCTTGCACACCTGTGCCTTCACCGCTTCTCGGCTCTTCGCCAGCTTAACAACCAGCACCAGCTCCACCCACGGCATCTTGATCCCCAAAATCCAAACCCAAACTCCAAACCCCAAACCCCGAACATCATGGCATGCTGATGCCCCACCAGAACAAACACCCTCATCGCTCTCACCGCTCATCCCTTCCACCACTGTCTCTTGGCTCCTCGCCAGCTGGTCGGCCGACAGACCAAACACCACCACCCCCTCCACCACATACAGCGTCTCGAACCATATCTATGCCCTTCAGACTAACCTCTACTCGCATCCTCATGGCTTACCTCTCGGCTCCTTGCCAACTTGTCAGCCGACAGCCCAAACACCGCCACCACTCAACAACTCATATCCAGACCAGGAGAAGCAAAACCGTTGATACACTCATCTCCACCTGCATCCCTGTGCCTTCCACCAGTGTCTCTCGGCTCCTCGCCAGCTTGTAAGCCGGCAGCCCAAACACCACCACCCCCTCCACCACATACAGCGTCTCGAACCCGATCTATGCCCTTACATCCACTCGCAAGCCCGTGCCTTCCACCACGGCCTCTCGGCTCCTCGCTAGCTTGTCTGCCGGCAGCCCAAACACCACCACCCGCTCCACCACACACTCGAGATGAATCCACGAGAAACAAAAACCTTTTGACTCACCTCCAGCCGCACACCCGTCCCTTCGACCACGGCCTCTCGGCTCCTCGCCAGCTTGTCAGCTGGCAGCCCAAACACCACCACCCGCTCCACCACACACGGCGTCTCAAACGCCTGCCGCTGCGCTCCCAGCGAATGGGACGCCGCCACGTCATCGGGGTGTGGGAGCGAGCGCAGGACGCCGTTTGAAAAGAGGAAGCGGCGGTGGATGAAGGCACCCTTCTCATAGGCGTAGGACTTGCCGTCGTCAATGTACAGCTCGCCCTCTGCTCCCATAGTGCTGTTGAGCGCAATGACCTGATGGGAAGAGGGCATGCAGATGGAGATTCTATTCGGTTCTTCCAGAAAGCGGCATTGGATGGAGGCCCCCTTCTCATGCGCGCAGGACCAGCCCTTGTGCATGGGCACTCTTTCTGCCTGCATACTGGCGCTTGAAGCAGTGACCTCGCCCTCTGCCTGCGTGTTCCGTGTGATAGTAATTTAGTCTTGAGACGTCTCAAAACATAACTACTATCAGGCGATGACTTCGCCCTCTGCCTACGTCCTCCTGTTCAATGCGGGTTCGAGTGGTGCCGTAAGGGTCCTTCTCCATCTGAGTGGGGGTCCTTGTCACTTGCAAAAAAAAAAAAACCTTACTCCCTTGCCAGAGTTCCAGTTGACCTTCTGACTTGCCACTTGCAGTTGACCTTCTGACTTGCCACTTGCAGTTGACCTTCTGACTTGCCACTTGCAGTTGACCTTCTGACTTGCCACTTACAGTTGACCTTCTGACTTGCCACTTGCAGTTGACCTTCTGACTTGCCACTTACAGTTGACCTTCTGACTTGCCACTTGCACTTGACCTTCTGACTTGCCACTTGCACTTGACCTTCTGACTTGCCACTTGCAGTTGACCTTCTCACTCACCAGGGTATAGGGGTCCTTCTCCATCTGGGTGCTGGAGCGCCTTGCACGGTCCTTCCTGGGAACGATGGAGCCAGCGCGCTGAAACACCGGCATGGTGTCAAGAGCCACTGGGAGCTCCCGCTCGCCACTTGCGTGCGGCTGCCCGGTCTTCAGATCGTACCAGAACTCGCTGCCCGGAAACAAAACTTTCACCGACGTGGCGCCCTGCAGGGTGTCAAGTGAGCGCGTGGTGGGAAGGAAGATGGGGAGGGAAGGTGAGGGGAGGAGAGGGGAGGGAGGAGAGGCGAGGGGAGGAGAGGAGAGGGGAGGGAGGAGAGGCGAGGGGAGGAGAGGAGAGGGGAGGAGAGGGGAGGAGAGGGGAGGAGAGGGGAGGAGAGGGGAGGAGAGGGGAGGAGAGGGGAGGAGAGGGGAGGAGAGGGGAGGAGAGGGGAGGAGAGGGGAGGAGAGGGGAGGAGAGGGGAGGAGAGAGGAGAAGAGGGGAGGTAAGAATGCATACAACTATAATTGTTTTTAAACAGATTTACCTGGACTTGATGGAACATAACTCCCCTCCACAGAGACTGGGTGCACGAGCACAGAGGGCCCCTGCACGAATGAGTCCTGGTGGCTAATAGCAGCGGGTCAAAGGGGAAACCCTACCCCTCTCCAGAGGCGACCTCACCTTTCACAGCGCCACACTCCCCTCTGCTAGTGGCCTCACCTCCACAGCGACCGGGCGCACAAGCAAGGACCGCCCCAGAAGGAAGGACTCCTGGGGGGCGAACAGCAGCGGGTCTGAGGGGCACTCGACCCCTCTGTAGGGACTGGTGCCCAAGGCAAGTGAGTCACCTCTACTGGAACAAGGTGTACGAGGACAGACAGCCCCAGCAGGAAGGAGGCCTGGTGGGCGAAGAGCCGCACGTCCGAGGGGAACTGTGGAGCTCACGAGACCCAACATCATCATAGGGAATGGAGTAAGCAGCAACCGACTCACCTCCACGGTAACAGGGTGATTTTGAGTCGACTCAAAAGCAGGGTGGTTTTGGGTCGACTCAAAAGCAGGGTGGTTTTGGGTCGACTCAAAAGCAGGGTGGTTTTGGGTCGACTAAAAAGCAGGGTGGTTTTGGGTCGACTCAAAAGCAGGGTGGTTTTGGGTCGACTCAAAAGCAGGGTGGTTTTGGGTCGACTCAAAAGCAGGGTGGTTTTGGGTCGACTCAAAAGCAGGGTGGTTTTGAGTCGACTCAGAAGCAGGGTGGTTTTGGGTCGACTCAGAAGCAGGGTGGTTTTGGGTCGACTCAGAAGCAGGGTGGTTTTGGGTCGACTCAAAAGCAGGGTGGTTTTGGGTCGACTCAAAAGCAGGGTGGTTTTGAGTCGACTCAAAGGCAGGGTGGTTTTGGGTCGACTCAAAAGCAGGGTGCTTTTTGGTCGACTCAAAAGCAGGGTGGTTTTGGGTCGACTCAAAAGCAGGGTGGTTTTGGGTTGACTCAAAAGCAGGGTGGTTTTGGGTCGACTCAAAAGCAGGGTGGTTTTGGGTCGACTCAAAAGCAGGGTGGTTTTGAGTCGACTCAAAAGCAGGGTGGTTTTGAGTCGACTCAAAAGCAGGGTGGTTTTTGAGTCGACTCAAAAACAGAGTGGTTTTGGGTGGACTCAAAAGCAGGGTGGTTTTGCGTCGACCCAAAAGCAGGGTGGTTTTGGGTCGACTCAAAAGCAGGGTGGTTTTTGAGTCGACTCAAAAGCAGGGTGGTTTTGGGTCGACTCAAAAGCAGGGTGGTTTTGAGTCGACTCAAAAGCAGGGTGGTTTTGAATCGACTCAAAAGCAGGGTGCTTTTGGGTCGACTCAAAAGCAGGGTGGTTTTGGGTCGACTCAGAAGCAGGGTGGTTTTGAGTCGACTCAAAAGCAGGGCGGTTTTGAGTCGACTCAGAAGCAGGGTGGTTTTGAGCCGACTCAAAAGCGGGGTGTTTTTGAGTCGACTCAGAAGCAGAAAATGGTGCAATCTTCCACTGACTCACCTCCCCGGTGACAGGGTGGGCTAGCATGTAAGGTCCCAGCAGGAAGGAGTCCTGGTGGCTGAAGAGCCGCGGGTCGGTCGGGAACTCTGGCTTCTCACAGACAAGCAGGAAACCCGCTCACCTCCACAGTGACAGGGTGCGCGAGCACGGACGGCCCCAGCAGGAAAGAGTCCTGGTGGGTGAAGAGCTGCAGGTCGGAGGAGAGCAGTGCTGCTGGAATAAAAAGTTTCATTGGCTCACCTCCACAGTAACCGGGTGCACGAGGACAGACGGACCGAGCAGGAAGGAGTCCTGGTGGCTGAAGAGCCGCGGGTCCGCAGGGAACTCGAACCACAGCGGGCGCATGGGGGGCGTGCCGGCAGTGAAGGCGGTGCGGAACTGCGTGTAGAGGTAGGGCAGGAGCGCGTAGCGCGTGCGCACGGCCTCCCGGATGTGCGAGGTGTACGGCTCACTGCATGGGGGTGGGTTGTGGGGTAAGGGCGTGGGGGGGGAGGCGTTCGGTGTCGATGCAATGCGATGTGATATAACCATGTCTACCCTACTCGACAAAACTTGGACCTACCCAAAGAGCCAGGGCTCGCGGCGCTTGGTGTCGAGGTGAGCGTGAGCGCGGAAGAAGGGATAGAAGACGCCCATCTGGTACCACCGCAGCAGCAGCTCCGCGTTGGGATTGCCAAAGAAGCCCCCGACATCAGCTCCTGTGGGAGCGAGGGGGGAGGAGAGGGCGATTTGAGGGGCGGGGGTTAGGAGGGGCGGGGGAGGAGGAGGGGTTAGGAGGGGCGGGGGAGGAGGAGGGGTTAGGAGGGACGCGAGTGAGTGTGGGCGCGGCGCAGAAGAAGGGGGAGAAGATGAAAAGAGCAGCAGCAGATGTAAACGGCGCCCCAGAAACCGTGGGAGGGAAGGGGGGAGACCTGACTCCCATACCGGAAAACTGAACTGCATACCCGGGAACCACACTGCACGGCTGAGAACCCCATGCCAGTTAGATCGAGGCTGAGCAGCATGGGGATGGATGGAGACACGCAGGTGCTGCCAGTCAGCCGTGTTGTCGCCCGTCCAGATGGGCCCCACACGCTGCCACACTGCGCGCTAGAGTACAGCCCCAGAAGCACCCTGAGATGAGAACGGGCGCACCTGAGCTTCCCTTGGCTCACCTGAGAACCCCATGCCCGCCAGGCCAAGGCTGAGCAGCATGGGGATGGACACCCTCAGGTGCTGCCAGTCAGCCGTGTTGTCACCCGTCCCGATGGGTCCACCTTTGAGCCCCGTGCCATACCTGAGAGCAGCACTGTATACCTGAGAACCGCACTGCATACCTGAGAACCCCATGCCAGCAAGACCGAGGCTGAGCAGCATGGGGATGGACACCCTCAGGTGCTGCCAGTCAGCCGTGTTGTCACCCGTCCAGATGGGCCCCACGCGCTGCGACCCGGCGAAGATCGCCCTGGAGAGCACGAACGGACGGTCGAGATTGGCCGGCCCGTTGCGGATCTTGAGCCCCTCGGCGGTGGCGAGGTGGTAGTAGTAGCCGTAGGCATTGTGCACGTCCCGGTGCTCCACGCCGCCAAAATGCAGGTTGTCCTTGGGCATCGTGACCTGGAGGGGGAGAGGGGAGGGAAGGAGGTGCGAGGAGAGGAGTAGAACGGCGCGGTGTAAGAGGGCTGCCACGAGCCACCTAGTGCACGTCCCTGTGCTCCACGCCGCCGAATTAAAGATTGACCTTGAACATGGTCACCTGGCGCGGGGGTGGGGGTGGGGGGGGGAGAGATGGAGGGGTGATGGGCGAAGGCGGGGCAAGTAGAGGAGGAGGACGGCGCAGGGTTGGAGCTCCCTGCCAGCCACTTTGTGCACGTCCTTGTGCTCCACGCCGCCGTAATGGAGACTGTCCTTGGGCATTGGAAAGAGGGCTGGGAGGGCATGGGAGAGAGGGCATTGGAGAGAGGGCATGGGAGAGAGGGCATGGCAGAGAGGGCATGGGAGAGAGGGCTGGGAGGGCATGGGAGAGAGGGCTGGGAGGGCATGGGAGAGAGTGCTGGGAGGGCATGGCGAAGAGGGGTGGGAGTGAGGTGAGGGGGGTGTCTAGAGAATGTGGCCCACTACGCCGAGACCTCCGGACTCAGCATGTCCAGGTAGCTGCTGCTGCCCGGCCTGCACCACCTGTCCTAGTCCTTGCCTCCTCCTTGCCGCTGGAGTCTCCCACTTCGGAGTACAGCACCCCATATTGGTCGCTTTCTTTGCTGGCTGCCTCTTTTACGAGTCCTTTCCTGACGCAGCGAGTCAGTGCAGTCCTGCACGCACCTCAGGCCCATTGAACACGGACGGCTCGTTCATATCATTCCAAATGTAGAGGTTCAGAGTGGACCCGCCGCATCTGGAGTATGAAAACTTGCCGGCCCACCATGCCCTGATCTCCGGACTGAGCACGTCCAGATAGGAGCTTCTCCCCGGCCAGCACCACCCGCCATAGTCCTAGCTGCTAGAATCCCTCACAAAAGAGTGTTGTGCCCCATATTAGTTGCTTTGGACTCACCTCAGGCCCATTGAACACGGACGGCTCGTTCATATCATTCCAAATGTAGAGATTCGGGGTCGACCCGCCATAGCTGGAGTAGGCGAACTTGCCGGCCCACCACGCCCTGATCTCCGGGCTGAGCACGTCCAGGTAGCTGCTGCTCCCCGGCCAGCACCACCCGTCGTAGTCCTTGCCGCTCGAGTCCTTCACGTAGTACCCTTTATTGGTCGCCTCTTTATGGAGCGAGTACCCATCGTCGCGCTTCACGTGGGGGTCCACTATGGTCACCATCCTGCGCCCCTTGGCCGCGAACTTGTTCTGCATGTCGGCTGGATGGGGAAAGTGGGTGGAGTCCCAAGTCATGTACCTGGAGTGGGCAGTGTTGTGTGGAAAACACAGGTAGAGATTAACACTTAAACAATACACCCCTAGGCGTCTGGCTTCACGTGGGGGACCACTATGGTCACCAACCTCCGCCCCTTGGCTGCAAACTCCCATCCCTCTCTCCCCATGCCCTCTCACCCCTCCCGCCCCTTGTTCTGCAATTCAGCTGGATGCGGGCGGGAAGTGAGTGGAGTCCCATGTCATGTCATGTACCTGGCATGGGCATCGGTGTACGGAGGGCACAGGGAAATAGTAACAATTTAAGATCGCGCCCCTAGGCATATGGCTTCACGTGGGGGTCGACTATGGTCTCCATCTTGCGCCCCTTGGCTGCCAACTTGTTCTGCATTTCCGCGGGGTGGGAGAAGTGGTTTCCACGTCACGTAACTGGAGAAGGTCGGGTGGAGGGTGGGGGGAAGGGACCAGTTTTATGCCATGCACCGGCCTCTGCTATTGAGCCAACTCAAAGCCATGCACCGGCCTCTGCTATTGAGCCAACTCAAAGCCATGCACCGGCCTCTGCTATTGAGTCAACTCAAAGCCATGCACCGGCCTCTGCTATTGAGTCAACTCAAAGCCATCGGCTTCTGCTTTTGAGTCAACTCAAAGCCATCGGCTTCTGCTCCCAGTGCTTGTACCTTTATTAGGCGCCTCACAAATCGACTCATGCCACGCACCCGCTTCCTGCGACCACTGCTCGCTCGTACATCACATCCGCCACCCCTCAACACCCCTCTTCCCATCCGTGTGCTCAACATCCTGCCACGGCAGTGACAGCACATCATATGTAACGACATTCCACAGTCTGCTTTCACCCCTGCCCCCCTCACTCACCGCTTCCCATCCGTGTGTTCGATGTCCAGCCACAGCACGTCATACGGGATGTCATGCTCGTCGAACCCCGCGTCCACAGCCAGCGCGTCCGCCTCGTCCTTGTAGTTCCACCGGCACTGCTGGTACGCCACCGCGAACAGCTGTGGCATGGCTGTCGTGCCAGTCACCGCCGTGTACTGCCGCACCACGCCGGCCGGTGAGGGGCCCAGGAAGAAGAAGAGGTCGAGAATGCCGCTCTCCGCTATCCAGTAGGTGGTCACCTGGAAAGGGGGGGAGGGAGAGGGGCGGAAGGCGTGGAAGGGTTTGGAAGCATAGAATGTGGAGAGATGAGGATGAGGGGCATCCATCCGCGTGGTCCTCGTAGTTGCAGCGGCACTGCTGGTATGCCACTGCCAACAGCTGCGACATGGCGAGCGTGACTGTGACTTATGTGTACTGCCGAACCATGCCGGCCAGCGATGGGCCCAGGAATAAGAAGAGGTCGAGGACTCCGCTCTCCGATGTCTAGTGAGTACGATGCTCTAGTCTCCGATGTCTAGTGAGTGGTCACCTGGTGGTGTCGCGGAATGCAAGGGACGGGAGACTAGAGCACGTGTGAGGCGCACCGAATCGTTCCAAATTTTAGCAATTTTGGCCAAAGGAGATATTTCAACCGAATTGTCAAGCTTCCCCTCCTGCACATCTCTCTCTACCCCTCACCTCCAGCACCTCCAGTACAGTCACGCTCTCCCATCTTAACTCACCTCGGGCTCAGGCACAGTCACGTTCTCGGGCGTCAGAAGCACGTTGACCCGCATCTTGACGGAATGGAGTATTGAGACGTCTAAAGAAATCCACACTCTCCCTTACTTGCTCACCTCCAGCATAGTGGTGGTGGTGCCCACCTGAGTCGACTCAAACGTCGCCTGAAAGCAGCATTGCGGCGTCGAAGGAACCCCACACTCCCCCGTACTTGCTCACCTCTGGCGTGGTCGCATTCTCGGGCTTGGCCAGCACGTCGATCCACATCTCGGCGGCGTTGAGCCAGAAGACGCCGGTGGTGCGCGCGGCGCTGTGAGCGAGCATCATGGGGATGGACCCGTAGAGCCCGAAGGGCGACTCATGCAGGTACTCGAAGACGTCCAGGTTGTAGAGTCTGTATGGCTCGCTGTGCACGCCAGGGCCTTTAGTGGGGCGCAGGGATAAGCTGTTGTAAGGGGAGCGGAGAGGGGGGTACGGATGAGGGGAGCGGAGAGGGGGGTACGGATGAGGGGAGCGGAGAGGGGGGTACGGATGAGGGGAGCGGAGAGGGGGGTACGGATGAGGGGAGCGGAGAGGGGGGTACGGATGAGGGGAGCGGCACCACAGTTGATTGGAGCTGTGCAGCCCGAAGGGTGGCTCGTGCACGTACCCACGTCCAGGTTGTACAGCCGGCACGGCTCGCTGTGCACGCTTGGGCCCTTGGTGGGGCGCAGAGACAGGCTGGTATTAGGGAGAAGGAGCGGGGGGAAGAAGAGGATGCCTAGCGCCGGGTTCCAGGATGCCATACATACAAGTGCTGCGCGCCGTGGACGGTGACGTTTCGGGCCATTCTGAGGCGCCTTGGAACACCGAACCATCGCGCGAGTCGCTGTTCCTCCCCTCCGAGCGTACCTCGTGGCGCGTTCCGGGATGCCATAGACGCGCTGCGCTTCCAGGAGCCTCAGAAGTGATTCTACGCCGTCCCCTTCTCCTCTCCCCAACCCACCTCGTGGCGCGTTCCGGGATGCCGTAGACGTTCTGCGCGCCGTGGAAGGTGACGTCGAAGCTGATGGCCTCGGGGCCGCGCGGCTTGGAGTCGAAGTGCCCCTTGAACGTCTCCTCCCACGACTCGTCCTCCGCGTCATGCCCGATAATCTCCCCCTCCTCCGCCTCCGCCTCCTCCGCCTCCCCCTCCCCCTCCGCTCCGCCGTCGCTCTTCGCCTCCCCCTCCCCCTCCACCGCCTGCTCGAGGATATTCTCCCCGCCTTCCGCCGCCGCCCCCGCGCCTTCCGCCTTTGCGCCTTCCGCCTGCGCGGCTTCCCCCGCAGCGGCGGGGGGTTCCGTCTTGTTGCGCCGGTGCTCGAACTCGAAGAGCCCCTTGCCGTTGAACGACATGAGCAGATCGTCGCCGCGGTACACGTGTACGGCGAACGGATCTTTCGCCAGAACCGCGCGGCGACCCTCGCCGAATGACAGGTGGACAGGCGCCACGTCACCCTCCACCGCCGACCCCGAAATCACGGAAAGCGGCACGGCCTTAGACTCCAGCCCTGGTTCGAGCACATCGGGAACCTCGAATCGGTTCCTGGACGCGTCCTCGTTAACTTTCATCCGGACCGTTGAATCCGAATACGCCGTGATCTCGAGAAACAACGCCACTTTCCCTTTCCCAGGTGCCTTGTTGCGGATAATTCCGACGAATTTCCCGCTGGGATTAATTTCGCCAGAGCGTAGGACCAGAGTAGAAGTGCCTGGCTCGCGATTGCGATTCCGCTTGCAGAAGTGCGCTTTGTCGCACGTCTTAAACTCGTGCGCCTTGAATCCCGCCGCGAGTTGCGGCTGCGCGCCGAGCAGCAGAAGCGCCGCTAATGCGAGCGCGAAGGTCATGCCGAGGGCTCGATGCGTTCTCCCACACGCAGCGCTCCCCACGCCGCAAGCCGCCATGAAAAGGCGATCTCAGCGAGAAAGGGAAATCGCAAAGATCGTCACTGTGAGCGACAATTACGGCGTCAAGCCCTACTGGGCAGCAGACGAGGCCGGGAGAAGCCTCGCTCCTAACGTGCGTGCTGGCCAATGTGCACTGTGCAGCAACACAAACGAGGTGCGATCTATGGCTCCTGCCCAACAGTCAGCAAGACACGGATCTACCTGTGCTGCTGTGAGGCAGACGGAAAGCCGCGCAGGGAGTGACTGGCTGGCAGTGAGTGCAGCAGCAGGATGCAAGGGGAGGGGATCTCTCGAAGTCTCCACTCGATCATCTCGAGGCTGGGAACAGGAATCCAATAACCGTCTAAGGAAAAATTCTCTACACCGCAAGTTTCAGATGGAAGTAAAGTAAAAACGTTTTTGGGGAGCATGTGTGGGTTCTCACATGGTTGATTGGGTTGAGTTGCCCTTCTAACAACTGAACCTATACTTCACCTCATGTTGGAGGTTCCAGAAAGCCTAAACCACTGTACCCCAAGTTCTAAATGCTAGAAAGAGGAAGTTCAGAGTACCCCAAGTGTTGGAAATATCTCAAGGACTTAAGCGTTTCTGAAGTGTAACACTGTACTCGAGGAAGATTACAGGGGAGCACGCGAGTCAACGGAGGTTACACGAGGGGGCGGACAAAGAATGCGAAAGGACTCGAAAGGTCGCAACTGGAGGTTGCGACTGACCGTTACAACATCACGGATAGTAACCGAAGCGGCAATCGAGTCGCTGTGCGACTCGATAAACCGTTCCTGTAACTGTATTCTACAACTGCTTTCTTATCTTCTATATATTGCTGTATGCTTGTTTCTTTAATCAATCACTTGTTCTCACATACTAGTACAAGGGTTCAACTGCCTCAACTTCCGCTGCACTACTCCAAGTCTCAAGTCTCTACAGCTGGGACTTAGTCTCTGCAAAAGATCCTAAGGGCTTTTCTCAGCCCAACATGGTATGAGAGCTGGTCAGAGACCAAACTCCCAGCAACTACGTCCTATCAACAACCTGCAACTCAACTCAATTCAACGACTTCATTGATTACAAGACATGGACAACAAGGGCAAGAAAGTCTCTACGGGCTCACCCAGCGCCCAAGAAACTCAACACGGCAACTCTGGTCTGCACACCTCAGGACTGCAGACAGAGACCGGGACTGCTCAAGAAACAACGGGAAGAGTACCAGAGATGGTGACCCCGTCTCCCTCTTCAAGTGTGGACCCGAATCTCATGGAGAGATTCTTCAGCTTCATGTCACACTTCGATCAGCAGCAGCAGACAAGGACACCTGCGCACTCAACACAGAGCAATGGAGGGAATATGGGATTAGCGCCGATGAGCCTCGACAACTCATCCTTCGGGCGACACAATCAAGCGCCTACCTTTGCGCCTTATCATTCTTCGCCGGGGACGTTCGAATTCATGCCGCCCCGTGCCCAGCCAACAACAGCTGCTTCACAACAAACACCGAATGAAATCTTAAGTTTACAGGCGCAGTTCTCACACGTGATCAAACTTCAGACATCCTCACCGTTCAACGGACACGACTTCTTTACCTGGAGCTTCGAGTTCGAGCTGCTGATGGAGGCCGCGCATCTTCTGGGATACTTCAACGGGTCCCTGCCATTCCCAAGCAACGGCACTGGGAAGGAACAAGAGATCTTCACGTATCAGTCGCTGCTGGCGTACACGGTACTCCTGAGAAACCTGTCACCACAAGAGCAGCAGAGCATCAGAACGTATCGGAGTTATGGAAACTCCGCGGAGCTCGCATGGCACCACCTCAAATGCCTTTACCAAGCAAACGACAGCGTGACACAAAGCAGACTCATGCAACAGCTGACAACAATACAGATGAAGACCGGGGAAAAGGCGATGCAGTATATGAGTCGCTGCCAGACCCTCCGCGACCGCCTGCTTCGGTGCGGAGGAACGATCACTGAAGAAAGCTTCGTGACACTTGTCCTCGCCGGGCTCGGGCCAGAATGGAGAACCACACGATCACTTCTTCGAGCCCACGGAAGAATTTCGGAGATGCACCTCTGCGCCGAGCTTCACGCTGAACAACAGGAGATGGATCTGTTCGAGGAAAGACAACCAAGGAAGCAACAGCAGTTAGTCTTCTACACTCAAAGAAGAAATGACAACAACTACAACCGACGCAGCAAGCAAGATCAACGTGACAACCGAGGACTCACCATCGTGCCGCCGTTCTGCCACAACTGTCAGACTTCCGGGCACTCCAAGGTCAACTGCAACCGCCCTCGCGTTTACCGTGCAGCAGACCCACAAGTCGCTTCCACTCAAGCAAGTCCTCCAAGGCGCTCTTCAACATCTGCACAACAAACACCCAACATCATCAACTGCATGGTACACATCGACAACTGCGCACCCGCTTCACCACCCACTTACGCACCAGATGAAGAGGAATTCCCGCCGCCGCGCTCGCAAGGACTTCAGGTCAACCCGACATACGCTGCAGTCGCTAACGCCGAACCCACCGGGCGGAACACCTGGTTCTTGGACAGTTGCTGCGGTCAGCACATGTGCTCCTCCGGACGCTTCGTACAACACGAGCGACGCCTCAACCGTGACGTCGTCATCACCGTCGCCAACAACGAAAACCTGAAAACAAATAGACAAGGCGTGGTTCAGTTACAATCAATGGAGACAAACGTTATTCTTCAGCTCAACAAGGTCCTCATCGTCGACAATCTGGGATACAACCTATTAAGCGTAAGCCAACTAATGGCTAAGGGGATTCACCTGGAGTGCGACTCCTTCTCCAACGAGTTCCGACTTTACCACGGGAAGGGCGGTCTCTTCATCGGTCGTGCCCTCCTGAAGTCCGGTGTCTTCGTGTTGGACTTCGTCCCCGACCGCGGAACTGCCGACAGCGACGGTATCGTATCCTTCGCCGCCTGGACTCATCCGCCAGATCTTGATCCCGACTTCGACAGCGACGGCTTCTGGCACTCCAACACCATACCTGCAGCAGAAAGAACACGAGCATTAGCAGTTATCAGACAAGAAAGACAAGTACCCGCATGTGTCCCAACAAAACCATCACCTGCAGTATCGGCAGCAGGACCCAGCCGAGTAACACCACCAGCGACACGAGGACAGCCAACCGAAGCAGACCAACTTATGCCCGCCACACGAGAAGCTTGTCGAAGTCCCGCCTCGGTCGTCGCGTTCTTCTCCAACGCCGACATCTACCACCGCTCGCCCGGTCACCGCGCTCCCGACGACATCTGGCACCAACGTCTCGGACATCCTGCAAACAGCACGATACTACAAACAATACAAGCAGAGGTGTTAGAACGTAACGCCCTTCTAACGACGAGCGGCCAAGAACTTCGCCGACCAAGAGCACGATGCTTCACGTGCCCCGAAGCAGATCTTCCTCATCAACCTTTCCCAGCCCATCACAATCCAAGCGCACCCACTTACGCTCCGATGGAAAAGGTCTACAGCGATATTCTAAACATGCCTCGAGACGACACCGAAGCCGACTTCAACTACGTCATCACGTTCATCGACGCCGCAACCAGATACGTCTGGCACTTCAATCTCAAAACGCGCGATCAAGCCTTCGAGGCCTTCACCACATGGCTTCCAATCGCCGAACGAGAGTCAGGAACCAAACTCAAGAGTTTCCAGTCAGACGGTGCACTGGAATACCAGTCACAACGCTTCAGGACCTATCTCGCGGAAAGGGGAATCCGACGCCTGGTGTCTCTGCCCTATGCTCACCAGCAGCAGGGGGTAGCAGAACGCATGAACCGGACCTTGCAGACGACGATGCGAAAACTGCTTCTGGGGATGAGGCTGCCCAATACACTGTGGCCAGACGCGATGACACATGCAGTCCACCTGCACAACCTGTTGTCCTCGTCATCGCTCCCCAACAACGCATCACCGCACCTGCTGTGGACGGGAAAAAGGGGCAGCACAAAATTACTTCGAGTTTTCGGCTGCATGGTACAATACAGACCCCACACAGCTCGAGCAGGACGCTTCACTCAACGAGCTCGGTGGGGACTACACCTCGGCATCGCCAAACATTTTCACGCGTGGAAGATTCTCGACATACACGACAAAAATACGGTGGCATCACGTGATGTTATCTTCTACGAGCGACTGACGCTGCAGCATTACCTGGACAACATTGCCAACTCAGACGACCCCACCGACGGCTTCGCGGGCCTTCGCTCCTTCGCTGACCATGCTGCCGAGGCTGACGCAGCAGAAGAAGACGTCCCTGGAGCCTCGGAGGCTGCCGGACCACTCCCCTACTGCTCCGTACCTGTTCCACTCGATGAAGATAATCCCCTCGATAGCAACAACCTCGACACCTTTTACCACTTCGCTGACCAAGGCTACGCTACACCACACCCCGTCGACTCGAATATTTCCGAACGCATCGGGCCAAACTTCTTACCCGATCCTGAAGACGGTGATGAAGCAGCTTATCCCGAGAATGAAAACTCCCCTCGACACACAGCCACGGGACTGCAGATCCTAGGACTATGGGTCTCCGTCCAGCACCCGCCGCCGCCTTCTCCGCGCGAGCCGTCGACCCTGTCGCAGGCTCTGGGGGGGGAACATAAGGCACAATGGAAGGAAGCGATGGAAAAAGAGTTAAAAGCTCTGCAAGACCGAGAAACATGGAAACTGGTACCTGCAACGAGCATCAACGGGAAGAACATTCTCTCGGGGAAATGGGTGTACCGCATCAAGACCAACTCAGACGGCTCCATCGAACGATTCAAAGCTCGATGGGTCGTACGAGGCTTCGATCAACGATACGGAACCGACTACACAGAAACCTTCGCTCCAGTCTCCCGTCACACCTCTCTGCGCATCCTACTCGCCATCGCGGCCACGAAGAAACTACCACTACGGCAAATCGACGTTGCAAACGCCTTCTTGTACGCACTTGTGGACGCCGAATTCTTCGTCGAACAACCCCACGGATTCATCGACGACCCTTCAAAAGTATGCCAGCTGGAAAAATCCCTTTACGGGATCAAGCAAGCCCCACGGCTCTGGCAGCAGCACCTTCACGGCCGGCTCGTAAAAATCGGATTCCTACAGCTACCACATGACCAAGGCATGTACCGACTACAGAAGGGAAGAGATTACATTCTGCTCATCGTCTACGTCGACGACCTGCTCTACATCGGTTCTACCACCGACATCGTCACCTGGTTCGAAGGGGAGCTGAAAAGGGACCTGACGCTCACGGTGTCCGACGAAGTTACCCAGTACCTAGGACTGAACATCGTCGAAGACGACACGGCGTTCTACCTACACGCTGGAAAGTACTCAAGCACCGTCGCGAAGAAATTCGGTCTAGCACCGACTGCGGTCCCAACTCCCTACCGCTATGGGAACAACAGTAGCGCCTCCACAAAACTCCCCGCGAAACAAATCCAGGAGTATCAACAGAAGCTCGGCTGCCTACTATTCGCAGCAGTAACCTGCCGACCCGACCTATCCTATAGTGCGAGTCAGCTGGCGACACATCTGAAGCAGCCGCAACAGGAAGATCTCGAAGAACTCAATCGAGCGCTACTCTACTTCGTCTCCACGCCGACGATCGGGCTCACCTACAGCAAGGCAACAACACCGTCCGTACAACTACTCGGATACGTCGACGCCGACCACGCGGGAGACAGCGAAAATCGACGGTCTAGGACGGGCTACATCTACCGACTAGAACCTATCGGAACTATCTCCTGGCAGTCGAGCAAGCAGGAGTTAATCGCACTATCCTCGGCTGAAGCAGAGTATATCGCCCTTTGTACTGCGACCAAGGAAGGACTCTACCTACGAGAGTTACTCGAAGAAGCGAAGATCGCGACCCTGCCCGCCTTCTCACTCCTCTGCGACAACCAATCTGCGATCAAAATCGCGAACAAGGACGGCTTCGCCAACCGAACCAAGCACATCGCCCTGCGGTACTTCTTCGTCAAGGATGAAATCGCGAAGGGGAGACTTCAACTCAGTTACTGCCCGACGACAGAAATGGCCTCAGATTATCTGACGAAGAAATTGGCGAAAGCAAAATTCGACTACTGCATGCTCCTAACCGGGCAAACAAACGTCACCGGATCTGAACACTCCAGCACTCCAGAAACGAAGGGGAGTGTTGGAAATATCTCAAGGACTTAAGCGTTTCTGAAGTGTAACACTGTACTCGAGGAAGATTACAGGGGAGCACGCGAGTCAACGGAGGTTACACGAGGGGGCGGACAAAGAATGCGAAAGGACTCGAAAGGTCGCAACTGGAGGTTGCGACTGACCGTTACAACATCACGGATGGTAACCGAAGCGGCAATCGAGTCGCTGTGCGACTCGATAAACCGTTCCTGTAACTGTATTCTACAACTGCTTTCTTATCTTCTATATATTGCTGTATGCTTGTTTCTTTAATCAATCACTTGTTCTCACATACTAGTACAAGGGTTCAACTGCCTCAACTTCCGCTGCACTACTCCAAGTCTCAAGTCTCTACAGCTGGGACTTAGTCTCTGCAAAAGATCCTAAGGGCTTTTCTCAGCCCAACACCAAGCATGGATGTGGATAAGGAAAATGCACTCTAATGTAACAAAGGGCAAACATTCACGTAGGAGTCTCATCACCCATGGCCTGGAGCACATATGCAGCCACCAGAAGCAACTTTTCAGACATATCTAACCTACGCCATGACTAGGGCAAAGGAGGAACTTTATTATGCTGAACAAGCGGCTGACAAGGATAAGCAGCATAGGCTCAAACAAAGCAATAAAATCCCCATCCTGTGCAAGCCAGCATTTACTCGTCTTGCATTGCAAGCTCCAGAGCATAATCGTCACGCTCAATTGGACCTCGTGCAAAGTACTTGCCAAACTGCTGCCAGTACACTTCATCCTCGTCCTGTGTCTCCACTTCAAGGTCTGAAAGCGGAATCCCCACACACAGCAGGGCGTAACCCTTCTCCTTGAGCTCTTGCGAAATGCCAAGCGCCCTTGGTTGCACCAGCTCACCAGATATCACCCGGACAGCACAGGCAGTGCAGCAGCCATGTCGGCATGCGAAGGGCAACTTGATGCCTTCCTCTTCCGCTGTTTGGAGGATGTATTGATCCTGCAGCACGAAGAAACATATCAAGGAGACCGACGTAAGTGAGGCACTCTATTGGGTAAGTGAGCTGGAAGCTGAATGCAGCAGACTAAGCTAGCTGAGAAAGTTGAAGTGAGTCCCGCTGTGCATAGGAAACCAACGGGCTACAGGAAATAAAGATTCACTAGGCTGGTGGACCGAAGAAATTAAATAATGAAGCAGTTACTAAAGTTATGCACATGATCGTTCCATAAAAGTAACTACTCGTGAGGAGGCTGACGACTGAGAAGCTATGGCCCCGTTCGATTCATGAACTTGCCGTCTCATGTTCAGGTGACTGAAAATGGTGCGAAAAAAGACGATGAATGTTTAACACCATTGCAGTTACCACGAGCAAAGCGGGAACGCAGCAGTTCTTCCGAGGGTTTCCAAGTTCGCTGACCTTGCCGGGCGAACCTCTAACCAACGATCAACGGAGCTAGATCATACTACAGCTCGACGCGACCAAGGATCGCGCTTAGATTCGCTCCATTTCGCCAGTTTGAAGCATCCAGTGCATGCCGCTAACGATACCCTGCCGTTACTCAACTGGCCACATCAGGGCGTTCGCCGCGTCTTCGAATCTTACCTGAGGCACCTCGACCGTGTACGTCGTTCCTCGCACCCTGTCGTGAACCGTCACCGTGTGCACCGGCACCTCCTCGTACTCTCCGTCAACCATTCCCTCGAGCTCTTCCAGCTCCGACGTAAACGTGTCGATCGCCGTCAACTCCGACGCTCGCAGCGGCGTCGACAGCGGTCTTCTGGCTGCGGTCTGTTTCCTCGCGGGAAATGCGCCGCTGTGAGCGACTACGGCGGTGAGCGTGCGAGACGGAGGGGCGGAAACGGAGCCTGCAGGAATCTTGAGGAGAGTCCCCTGCAAAGACGAGGAAAGTAGGCTGGCCATCTCTGGATGACGGGCACAGCTGCAAAACCGAGGACAGGGTAGCTAGGAGACGTGCGAGACGCCCGCACAGAACCAGAAGAGCTTAGACGAGAGTGGCGCGACAGACGCGGAGAAAACGAAGGTAATGCTCTTGAAAGTACGTTGTGGAACCAATCGTACCCGTGAAGCCTCAAGGACAGACTGTAGGCGGGGTTGCTTTTAGAGCACAAGGGACTCCCTGAAAGGAGGAGAAAGGTGATCGTATCAACTGGGAAGAAAGGCGGTGGCAGGGGGTCATACTTGCGAAGCACAGACCAATCACATGATGAGTTCATGGAACAATCCAAGCCCTGCTGTGATGCAACGTAAGGCCCTTTCAGATGCGCTGGACGGGAGGACATCTCCCTGGCGACCAACACAACGACACGTGGAGGACCACGTAAGGAAAGAGTACCTCAGGATACTTCGCATGCCGCGTCGACTGACCCGACATTGAGATTACAGTAACACCTCAAAATCAGATTTGAGGGGATACACCGCTGACAAATTTGACAAAGAATGTTCCTTGAACTCACCTCATGAAAATGGGCACCCAATATACCCACATCTATAATTGAGCTTTCAGCTCATATGTTGCAACTCTCCTGTTTCCCCATCCTTGTACCAGTCCACGAGCGAGTCCCTCCCTCCTGCTTTCCCTACCCTTCTAGCCAACGCAAACATAACTGCACTGAACGCATCATACTGCGCAAGCACTTTCGTGACAAGCATCTGAGCCCCTTCTGGCAGAAAATCAACCGGGTTGAACTGCGGAGCTGACCAAATAAAAAGCGGCCAGAGCTGTTGCAGGCGCTTTTGCTTGACCTCAATGTCTTCCGGTGGAATGGCCTGAAGGCGCTCGTGCAGTTGAGGGATGTCGCGGATGCTCAGTCGGTACGAGAGCAGGCTCCAATCCACCCCATCTCCCTCAAAGGGAAGCAGCACATCCGGCTGTTGGGGTAGAGGAGAATTGCAACACGCGTACGAAAGAAGAATCAGGGCACAATGAGAAGACTGCGGAATTAAAACAGAATATGAGCAACCAGACGGGCCTTCATCGACAACAAGCAAATCACGCTGTGGTGGCAGCATTGGCCCAAACAAATCAGTCGAGACAATCACCTGCCAGAAAAACTGCAAACCACATGAACAGTAACAGAACCGACCTGAACAACAACTTACCTCCACCTGAATGACAAGGACGCAACCCGAATGGAAAAAGGAACCCTGGAATGACAACAGAGACCCATCTGACCAACAACAGAGACTCACCTGAGCAACAACAGAGACCCACCTGAGCAACAACAGAGACCCACCTGAATGACAACTGGCACGCAGCCCGCCATGACAGCCATGGCGAGCGATGCATGCCAGCCATGCCCCGCCGTGGCGAGGCAGAACACGCTCTCCTGCATGCCGCCATACGCCAGCTCGTCGCCACCCTCCGGCACCACCTCCACCTTAAAGCCCGTCTCCCCGTCCCGCCCCGCGTACAGCTCAAACACCCGCTGCCGCACGCCAAAGCTGAACGGCGGCTCCCCATGATGCTGCTCCCTCTGCTGCTGCTCCCTCTGCTGCTGCTCCTGCTGTTCCCCCTGCTGCTCCTGCTGCTCCTGCCCCTCGTGCTGGGTCTCCTCGCCCCACCCTCCACTGTCATCGCTCACATTCAGCCCCCTCACATACAAAAGGTACTGCCGTTCCTTTCCTAGCTGCCCCTGCTCACTGCTCCCCTCCCCCTGCTGCCCCTCGTGATGCCCCTCCTGCTGCTGCTGCTGCTCCCCATCCCTAACATTCTCCCTGACCAATCCCGGCAGCCCGCCTGCCTCCCTCACCATAGTCACATTCGATAAGAACCTCAGGTGGGCCGAGGGTGGGATCACTATATCCTGCCCGGGCCGGAAGCACGGCCCGCCCTCTGCCATCCTGAGCATGTTCCGAGTATACCCCCACGGGGTCAGGGTGATTGCGGACGCTAGCCGGGGGTCCTCTTCCCCGTAGTGCTCCAACCCGCACTTGCCGAACTCCTCGCTTACAAGGAAAATGTGGTCTGCGCCCCCCTTGGCGTCCCAGAAGGGGCCGAGGGAGCGAATAAAGGAAATTGCTTCCGAAATTAGTCGCTGTTTTCCACTGTCACGGTTGCTGGGGGAGGGGAGGAGGGAGGGGGAGGGAGGAAAGAGGGGGTTCGAGGGGAAGAGTGAGTAAAAAGACTGGGTTTTTTTCCCCTGCAGCGTTAGGAGAAGAGTGGGGAGAAAGCTGGGGTCTTCTTCCCCCTACTGGGTGAGCAGGGGCACGCAGTACGTACCGGATCAAGAGCGGTACGTAGAAGAAGTCGGCTTCGCGGGGGTCGATGGTGCGGTGGCAGCTGGCCAGCAGCCGCTCCCAGAACCAGAGGGCCTCGGGGTGGTCGATGTACGGCGAGTGCTGCATCTGCCACGTGTTAAAGTGCGGGGGCAGCTCGTACACGTAGACCTTCAGCCTTGCCGCTGCTGCAGCGGCTGCTCCTGCTGCTCCTGCTGCCGCTGTTGTTACTGCTCCCACTTGATTCTGCTGCTGCTCCTGCTGTGGTGCCTGCTGGGCCGGTGGTTGTTCCAGGGTTTGTTGCTCTTGCCCTGGTTGCTGCGGCTGGTTTTGGAGCGACAGTGGAAGCTGGCTTCCTGCTGCTGCTGCTGCTGCTGATGGGGATGATACTGATAATGATGGGACTGGTGAAGATGCTGCTGTGAACGTGTCGATCTCTGGTAGGTCGGCCCAGGGAAAAGGCGACCCAGGGAGCCTCCTGATTGGTGGATGGAGCAGGCAGAAGAGAGGAGAGAGATGCGCAGGGAAGACCAAAAAGGGGCGAGAAGATTGGGAAAAGGCGAGACCAAGGCCAGGGGACTCAAGGCTATTCTCCCTGCCACTAGTTGGGACGATGATTGGGACGATGATTGGGACGATGATTGGGACGAAGTAGGACTCAAAATTTGACTCAGAAACTCGTTAAGAGCAGCACGTAGAGGGAGCACCTGTAACTTCTCTAACCTCAGCCGCAATTCCTCACTGTAATACAGCGAGCAGTCAGCACCGAAGAACCCCGCCTGGCACCGGCACTGGCATACGCCGCCCTCGCAGTCGGCCCTCTGAGAGCACTCATTGAGACACGCCACTGAGTAGCACAGCGCACACAGAAGGCGTGGCTCCTCTTTACCTCAACCACAATTCCTCGTTGTAGTAGAGGGAGCAGTCAGCGCCAAAGAAGCCCGCCTGGCACTGGCACACGCCCCCCTCGCACCTGAGCACTCGGTGAGAGACACGCCGCTGAACAGCACAGCGCACACGGAAGGCGTGGCCCCTCCTCTTACCTTAACCGCAGCTCCTCGTTGTAGTATAGCGAGCAGTCGGCGCCAAAGAAGCCCGCCTGGCACTGGCACACGCCCCCCTCGCAGTCGCCCCGCTGGGAGCACTCGTTGAGACACGCCACTGAGTAGCTGTCGTCCTCACAGCCGCTGCCGTCGTGGTACCAGGGGCACCTGCGGGAGGGGG